TGCTATTGGTATGGTGAATTGTATTTTATTAAAGCTGTTAGAATATTCCTGCCCTTGTGGAGCTTATATTCTACTTGGCAAGATATATAACAAAGATAATAAATAGGTATATTATGTAGTATGCTGGAAGACGATAATTGTTATGGAAAAAACAGAGCAGGAGAAGATAAATTGGGGCCGGTTCCTTGAGCGGGAAAGTTGTAACTTTAAATAGATGGTCTATGTTGGTCTTGTCGAGAAGTTGCTATTGGGGCAAAGATTTGAAAGAAGTGAAGGAGATGCCCTATGAGTATTTGAGGGAAAATAAAAACTAATACTTTTACCATATATACTATGTGCCAGGGTTTGTTCCAAGCACTTTACATGTATTTACTCATTTAACCCTTATAATAACAGATATTTCACAACAACCGATATTTATGAATTTCACAAAAATTTCTGTTGGGGTTTTTATTGGATTTTCTTCATATATAGAGATTACTTTGGGGAGGATTGATACCTTTACAACACTGCCTCTTGCCATCCATAAGCATGGTCAGGTTCTACATTTATTCACAGTTTCTGTTGTGTTCCTCAATCATTTTACGATTTTCTCAATAAAGGTTCTGTACACATTTGTTAGATTTATTCCTATGTACTTTATCGTTTTGTGGTCCCCGTAAACAGTTTGTATATATTTTCAACTTCGCTTCCTGTTGCTTACCCTGCCCCACCCCAGATCCTACTCTGTTTTCTTTTTTGTAGTGAATATACTCTAGTGATTGTGTGTGTGTGTGTGTGTGTGTGTGTGTGTGTGTGTGTGTGTGTGTAATGAATGGTCTTGCTACCTGACCCTGCTCTTTAAGCTGGGTTTGATTAACCCAGACAGACCACAACATATCATGAACGATCTAAGCCTTTCCCCTTCATGATTTTTGCAAAATACATATTCTTGTCCTGTCTCCTCAATGAGTCTTTAAGCTCCCTGGGGGCAGTGAGTGTGAGCACATGGGAATGACTCAAAAAGGTCTTACTGCTACTTTTCCCACAATGGGGTTGCTGTACTTTTTCTTCAATTTCTTCACTCCATTGAGCCCTCAACCATGACTCTCCCTTGATCTTCAAAGTTGACTTCCATATATAAAGATGCACTTTCTCCCTGGACTCACGCCTGAGCTCTTTTCTGTCAGTGATTCCTCTCCTTTGAGGAAGTGAAAGAAAAATCTTGATGAGTAGCTGAGGGCTCTTTGAGAGGAAATATGTTTGTGAGATGATTTAGCCCAGTTTTTGCAAAAGGTTGATCCACAAAACATTAGTCTATGAGATGCCCTGGAAAAAGAGGTTCTGAGCTTTTTAAAAAATTTTTATTTATTTATTTGAGAGATTGAGAGAGAGAAAGAGAGAGCACAGCAGGGGGAGCGTCAGAGGGAGAGAGAAGCAGGCTCCCCGCTGGAAGCTGGGCTCCATCCCAGGACCCCGGATCCTGACCTGAGCTGAAGGCAGATGCTTAACGACTGAGCCACCCAGGTGCCCCTGGGTTGTTGTTGTTGTTGTTTTTAAAGCAGGAAGCCCTTTATACTAAATTGCCTTTTTGGAGACAAATGCCATATTTTATGCATATTAAAGGAGAAGTTTTATGGTAAAGAAAACAAATTTTGTTTATCCCCCCACTTTTTAAAAATTTTTGACCAAAGAACCATTTTTGTTTGTTTTTAAAGACCACTTGGTAACATCCACATACCTCACACAGGGACACCTTGATCTTGTTCACCCATCTGCTCTTTGATGGATATAAACAAACGAAATCATCTACCCCAGACTGTCTCCTAAAGACATTTCGCGGCTTCCACAGTAGTGTTGCGAAGCCTATATCATGAGGAAATCCCTTCTAAAATCTATTCTAAATCCTTTATTTTTTTATCCATTATTTTATCCATCCATTCTTCTATCCTCCCCAGAAAATTTTAAAAAATTGAGTTCCGATACAAAACCAATCGCCGTATATTTATGAAACGCTTATGATGTGCAATAAAAGTATTAAGACATTCAGGGACGCCTGGGTGGCTCAGTCGGTTAAGCATCTGCCTTCAGCTCGGGTCGTGATCCCGGGGTCCTGGGATCGAGTCCTGTGTCGGGCTCCTTGCTCAGCAGGAAACCTGCTTCTCCCTCTGCCTGTCGCTCCCCCTGCTTGTGATCACTTGCGCTCTCTCTTTCTCTCTCTCTGACAAATAAATAAACAAAATCATTAAAAAATTTAAAGACATTCCCCTTGCTGGACAAGAAAGCTACAACCATTGTCTGGAATTTCCATATTTCCCTGCCCTTATTCCTTGATATGTGTCTGCCCTTGACCTGAATAACCCTGATCTTTCCGAAGATGGCCACAGTGTAAGGCAGAAACAAATGGAAGAGAACACACCGGACACAGGCGACCCCCTGAGGTAGTTATTTAGAAGCCAGAAGAACAGCAGCAAGGTGGGCAGCCTTGACTAGGCAGGTTGCACACGGAAGCTATCTACCCCACTAACACAGAGATCTTAGGCTTGCTTTGCCAACACCTTCCCAAAAAGGGATGTCACTTTTTTTATCCCACTTTGAGGCATCTTACGGTAAAACACATGCACCAAAAAATGCTTACCTATTCATCATCAACAGCTATATCTGAAAAGGAGGGTTAATTGTATTAGGAATCAGACAGAAGATCATTAAGGACCCTGCTATTAGCTCTGAGTTTTCTGGAAGCCAAGTCACAATGGAGTCATGGTAGTTCAAGACTCTACCTGTTAGTACACGTAGTCTCAGTTGTGAAGATGGTAGCCCGCCCCTCCTTTACTCTCTCACCTTTCTCTTCTTTTGTCTTATAGTTTGATCTGCTTTAATAAATTTAATGTGGTTGCTTCCTTCCCTTTTTCTAACATATTTGATATAAAGAAGGCATTTCGTAACCAATAGGAAATTTGAGGAGTCATTAATATTCATCTTGTAGCCATCAGACTCACTTCACGTGGAAACGCCTCTGGGTTGGATTCGAACTCACAAACTCTCATAGGTAAATGCCACAGATCCCATTAACCAGAATGTTACAGCAAGCTAAAAGGTCTTTGGGGTCTTTTTTCCTACATCATCCCCCATGAAATTCTGGAACTCTTTTCCCTTGTCTTGTCCTTCTTGTTCTTCCTCGTAGTCTACTCCACTGACCTTAATTCAAAAACGACCAGGGGTTGGATGCATGAACTAAGGATGCCTTCAAGAACATTCAGGTTTGATTGTTTTGTCTCAAGAAGGTGAGAGGAAGAGAGCTACAATTTCTAAGAAGCCTGGTTTGACTACCTGAGTCTGATCCCCAGGCAGATTAGGCCAAGGTTTTGGCCAAGTGAAATTGCCAATTCCCTTTAAAAAGGGGGTGTGGGGGGGGGCTAGCACATTGCTCATTAGAACATTCTGCACTCGCCTGTGCAATCTTTTTGCTACCCTGCCATTTTCTGTTGGTTATAAATGAAACCTTTCTAGCTGTTAATGCAGCCTGAGAATCGAAAAAAAAAAGCATGTAATTAATCTTGGGAGTTGGGGGGATTCACTAAGCCTGAGTTATAGGGGAGAAGCTGGACAAGGCACTAGGACCTAGAAGGCATCTATCCACCCTGGCAGGAATTTCTTGCTTGGAGCTCAGACAACAAAGGCATAGAGAGATTGGTTTTCTTTCTCTCAGCATCTCCACCCAACCAGCAGAAAACCGGTGAGTGGGGCTTTCAGTGATTTTCAGGCAGAATGTAACAGATGCCAAGCGGGAAAAGCACAAGGCAACGCGCTTGCTCTAGCTCTCTCTCTCTCTTTCTTTCCTTCTCCTTTTTTTTCCCTTAAATTTTATTTTACCTTATTCTATCGGATTTCTTCCTAAGCCTCTACCTGGGATTTTCCTTTGGAAAAGTGAGTTTGATGTTCATTTGTTTTCACTGTGTTGTTGATTTAGAATAATACCACCCGTGATCCTAAAGCAAAGCCAAGTGTTACTGGCATGCCTGGGGAAATGCTTGCTACTTGTCTTGAGGAGGTGGGGTCTCTCACCACTGCAGGTTGTCTGACAGAGACAATGCTGAGCTCAGCACAGGTCATGGTGACATTGGAAGAAAAGGGGGATAGAGCCTGGCAAGCCTCCTAGGCACCAGTCCTCCTTTATCTCCTGTTCTCCTGGTCCCTTGCAAATATCTCGATGTGGCAGTGTGTAGCAGCTGAGCCCTGCTTGCTCTGTGAGTCTTTTTATCCCCATCTGTGAGATGCATGTTAATAGTTGGGTTCCTAGGCTGTGGTCACTACCTTTGCTAACGCTCGAGGCTTCTGTTGTGTTTGGTTTCATGTTTTGATTTCTCTCCTTTTTTCCTCCCTCCCTCCCTCCCTTCTTCCCTTCCTTCCTTTCTTCCTTCCTTCCTTCCTTCCTTCCTCTTCCTTCCTTCCTTTCTTTCTTTCTTGTTCAGCAGAAGGGGAAAAAACAAATCTGACAAATGACCATCTTTTGCCTCAGCTAATGCACCTGGGCGATAGACAAGTTTGGGGGTGAATTGCTTTTGTGAGGGGCAAAATGCCCCTTCGGTCAGGGTAGAAATCCGGAACAATGAAAGGTGTGCTTGTTTCGAAAGGTCCCATATGCTTTCCAGGGACTCACTGGGGAATCTTTCAACAATTAAATTATTCCATTAAGGGGTGGGGCTGCCTCATTGGGGAGGGATAAAGCACATATTAAAAGAAAAAGAAGAAAGAAAGAAAAGGATTTTGTGACCAAATGGTACCAGGGGGAAAGCAGAGCTAATAACTTGTTAAATAACTGATTTTTCTAATCCTTTTTTTCCAGCTTATTTCTTATGATTGTCGGATAGCTGCACCAGCTTGGTGGGGAAAGGGTTTGATGAATAGCACAAAGACACTAGCTATTCTCTGGAGGCTGTCCCTTTAAAGGAGAATCCTGGTTTATTGGGGGGGGGGGAGGGGAGGTACACATTAGCCTAGGAAAGGGGGTTTGGAATAAAATGAAAAACCTTCCCCTCCATAGTCATTTTACTGAAGCACAAAGATTGCTTCCTAAACTGGAGATGCCAACCTCAGCCAGCGCCTTCTATTCTCTTCAAGGGGATTCTGTCAGGCTAAGGATTCATTTACAACTGTTAGTCATGTGGGCATGTGTGAGGAAACAGATGCCAGTTCTAATGTATTTAGCCCGAAGTTACAATTTGATAGGAGCCACTGTCAAGAAGTCCCAGGATTTCAAGCGATTTCAAAATCCCTCCCTCTCCCCTGTTTGGAACAGTGCCCAGAGTGCCTCCCTCCCTATCTCTTACCCCAGCCCCCCCCAACACCAGCACCCCCCCAGCCCCTCCTTCTTCTCTATTAAGATCAATATTCCTGCAGGTCAGGGGCAAGCAGCAGATGGGTCACGGGCTTTTCTCAACCAGTTCTTTTTACAAGCAGCAGATTGCAGAACTGGATCTGACTAATACTTGAATTCCTTTCTTTTTTTTTTTTCTTCCTCCCTCCCCCTTTTTCTTTGCCTCTTTTCACCCCCCCCCTTTGTCCCACACTCAGGTCTCTGAGGTTCCACCAAAATATGGAACTTGATTTTGGACATTTTGACGAAAGAGATAAGACATCCAGGAACATGCGAGGCTCACGAATGAATGGGCTGCCCAGCCCCACTCACAGCGCCCATTGTAGCTTCTACCGAACCAGAACCTTGCAGGCACTGAGCAATGAGAAGAAAGCCAAGAAGGTACGTTTCTACCGCAATGGGGACCGCTACTTCAAGGGGATTGTGTACGCTGTGTCCTCTGACCGTTTTCGCAGTTTCGACGCCTTGCTGGCTGACCTGACTCGATCTCTGTCTGACAACATCAACCTGCCTCAGGGAGTGCGTTACATTTACACCATTGATGGATCCAGGAAAATCGGAAGCATGGATGAACTGGAGGAAGGTAATGCAAGGGTGGTGGCTCTTGGTGGGAGGTGGCGTCCTTGGCCGTGCTTACATCTCTTGGAGTACCCTGAAAAAACGATTCGGGAATGGATTTGTCAGAACGCCAGGTTGATGCTGCGACTGCTGAGTCCATAGGCATTGACGGGGCCATTAGCCATTATCCTACTCGGCCTTTAGCCCCTGCTGGCGTTGAAGCGTGGATGGTGGGGACAATGCATTGTGCTTATCTGTCAGGGTATACAAAGGGAAATCTGAATTGTGTCATTTACTCTAGATCTTGTTCATAATTAATTCTAAGTGGCATTATTGAGGCAGACCACGAACTCATTAGGGCTGGAAAATGAGGAAGGAACTTCGGTCGGGTTCACAGAAAGATAGCCAGATATCCTTTGGACTGCTTGTGCATTGCAACGCATGGAAATACGCCCCCTAAAAGCAGGACTTCCTGGTCCTATTCACAAAGGATTATACTTTTAGGTAAGTGGTCACTGCTCAGCTGTCGCTTCTAAAAAGCCCACTCCAGGGTGTGTCCCTAAGGCTGAGGTCATTGTGAGAAATACCAAAGAAAGCTGGAGGTATGTCTGGTATTTTAATAAAGACTCTTCCTATTAGAATAGGAACTGACTCACTGTACCTAAATCCCTTTAAAGCCTCTCTAGACTTCGGTTTTACAGTTGAATGTTATGATGAGGTTGCTGAGAACCAAACAACCTGTGTACCCACTAAAAAATAAGGGAAGTCTCAGCTCTTACCAAAGCCTGCTCATCCATGATGCATTTTTTGTGTGTGTGTGGTTATTTAGAAAATAGATCTTGGGACAGGTGCTTAATATTTTACTGTGTCGAGTCAGTCATATTGTGGATGCCTCCCTATGCCCACCTTTAAATGGCTATAACATGTAACCAACTGATAATACAAATGGCCCTCCCCCCGGCCTCTCCCCAACTCTCTAGCCCTCCCTCCTCCCCCTCTTCCATTCCCTAAGCACAGGTGAGTTTAGAGCAGGCAGATCTCTCGGGAAACCAAATTATGAAACAGCCAACAGGGAATGGGAATCAGCACATTAAACGACTTGGTGTGGGAGGGCCCCGCCTCCGCTTCACCGCTTCTAGGTTTCTTGTGCTCTTAGACAAAGGAGCGTGAGGGCTTCCCTTGCACGAGACCGCGTTCTCGCACATTGCTTGCTGTTTCTCAAGTCAGGTCAACTGATTTGGGGCCAGTTCCTTATAAGCGACAGTGTCCCTACGGCTACTGGATCTGGGTCTCAGGGTTCAAGTCTGAGGTTTTTCCACATAGCTGACCTTGGAAAGCAATGCTGAGAAGGCTGTTGGATCGTGTGCTGGATGGCCAGGCAGAGGTTAATCCTAGGCTTTTTCTGCACATTGAAGGATTGAGTATCCTAGCCCATGTCTGGAAGGAGAGTAAGGGCAAACTGGAAGGACTTGGAGTGAGGTTAAGGGAGCTGTCCAACAGAGTAATTGATACGGTGTGTGTCTTTTGTCACCGTGCAATCCATATCTCGGGTGAATTTGAGGGGTGTCTCCGGAATCATTGTCACAAACAAAGCACCTTGAATCACCCAGTGTGTCCTCATTTCCCCTAGCTGTGATTTTTTTAAAGACTGTGACAGATGCCAGGGCAGAATTCTGAACCCAGGGACATTGTATTCAGAGTAGGAATTAAAATGTTCTCATGTCTGTTATAAGAGAAGTATCATGCACACATTTCCCTGCACAAATCCACTTTTTAACACACCTTGCTCAAGGACAAGCCCTTGATATTGATTTTTCTTCCTGGATATGTGTGTGTGTGTGTGTGTGTGTGTGTGTGTGTGTGTGTGTGTTTTGTGATAATCTCAGTTCAAAAGAGATAATAAATGTAATTTTGAAGACTGCACCCTTTCTCCTGACCCTTTTGAGTCCTGCTAGATTGGATTCCTCCCCGGGGTGCATGGTAGTACTTACTGGGTATGTAGAATGCAAATTAGGTTCAGTTGCATTTATTCATATATCATCTACAACTACAAGCTGCAGTGGGCCTCAACCCCCTCCCAGTCTTGAGTACTGCTCGTGCGGTCAAGGCAATTCTGGGGTATCTCTAGGCTAGTGTTGAGAAATGTGACCAGTTCTCCCACCGCTGCACAGTCAGATGAGAATAAGGAAGATAAAGAGGAAAAAGTCTTTTCTCTCCTGTTTTGTCCTCTGGAACTACTCTTCTGGGAATGGAGGACAGAAGTCCCTCACTTTGTTCACCACTGGAAGAGGCTGAATGAAAGATTAAAAACATTCATACACATGGCTCCCCAAGAGACTTCACACTGGAAAAGTTTGGAAAGATCCCTGATGAAGAATGAGAGGCAGGGGGTTCTAGTCTTAGAGGCAGAAAGTTATCACAGGAAAAGAAGTCTTTGGAATCAGATTTGTTGCCAATCCAAGATCTGCCACCTGCTAGCTCGTGTGACCTTGGGGAAACCAGTTAGACTCCCCGAGCCTCAGTTTTTCATCTGTAAAGTGGGAATAATTGCTTTGAGGATTAAATAAGATAATGAATATGAGGTGGTTACTATTATGCCTGGCATACAGTAACACTCAGTAAAGAGTATCTACGACTGTTGAGTTGTCCTAGTTTATAGCTGGTTAGGTACATGACCATAGGTCTATCCTTATCATCACTGTGAATAACCTTCTCTTTTTTAAAATAGCATTTTTGAAGAAAACACCCATTTAAAGGTATAATTTGCATAACATAAAAATCACCCATTTAAGCGTACAATTCAATGATTTTTAGAAAGTTTACTAAGTGGTACAACCATCATCATAATCTAATCTTAGATCATTTTATTCACCCCAAAAAGGAACCCTGTACCAATTAGCTGTCACTGCCCATTACCCTCACTGTCTCCAACCCTAGGCAACAACTTACCTACTTTATGTCTCTACAGATTTGCCTATTAGGGACATTTTATATAAACTGAATCATACACCGTGAGGTCTTTTGTGACTGGCTTCTTTCCCTTAGAAAAATGTTTCCAAGGGTTATCTGTGTTGTACTTTGTATCAGCACTTTGTTCCCTTTTATGGAGGAATAATGTTCCATTGCATGTAATGGACCACACCTTGAGTCTCTGTTGTAATATTCTTATCTGTAGAAGGAGACTAGTAACACCTGCCTTCTTTATCTATCAAGGTGGTTGAGAGGATATAATGACATAACAGATAGAAAAACACGTTGACAAGGTAAAACTACAGCTAAAAGGTATTATTGTTAATGATGTAAAAAAAGTAGTAATAATGATGATGATGCTAGTGAGGGGTTGGGATGGCCAGAGGTTCCCAAACCTGGCTGCCTTTCAGAAACTTCCAGAGATTTGGAAAAATATCAGTTCCTGGGTCACACCCCAGCTCTACTGAATCATAATCTCCAGGGCTAGGGCCCCAGAATCTGTCTTTTTATAAACCTTTTCAGGTGATTCTTATGAGCACTTAAACTTGAGAAATACTGGATTAGGTGATCTTGATGGTCCCTTTCAGATAACTGCGGTGGTGGGAGTTCCTAGGAGTGTAGAAGGCCTTGTTTTTGTTTTTGCTTTTTCGCTTTGTAGATCTTAAAGGAATGATGGAGCACAGAACATACTATTTCCAAATGGCCACTTCGTTAAATATTTAGACTAAGATAAAATGAAATAAAAAACAATGGGGTAATAATCACTCTGGCCTGTGATACTCCTTGTCTAATACCTCTAGTCTACTGTCTGCTAGATACTGAAAGTCACAAGACAAATGTTTTGGGCCCAAATCAGGTTATTTATGTCAGCTTTCCCACAGATCCTTGGGTACACAGAGTCTTAGCGAAGAAATGAAGGCTGTGGTCATATTTGTATTAGTCATATTCCCAGTAGGTCAATGAATGAAACCCACCAGTGACTTTTCCTTTTGTCTTGCTTAGTCTTCCATCGCTAAGTCATTCTCCTTTCCTTCCTGCCCAGTTCTTCCCCCACTTCCTTGTTTGTGAGTACCCAGATCAAGGGTATTGTTTTGAGCATTATTACATGGACCACAGGACAGAATATTTCCAATTGGGACAGTCTTGTTGGAAAATCTGAGTCGAATGGCAGCCCTAGTTATGATCCAGTTCCTTTGCCATAGCTCATTTGAGATGAGATGAGATGAGACCACCTTCTCACTAATTTATCCTCCCCCTACTAAAGCAGACACATGGCCAAAGAGAAGGATTTTAAAGATACCTGGGAGAGAGATGCATCATTAATAGATATGATGATACAATAAAGTATCATTTAATATTTTCCTTCTTGAGTGAGGAAGTCCTGGCAAAGTGGAGAGAGCCCAGACAGAAGTGTTTCTGCGCCGAGGAAACGTGAACGCATGTAATGTTTTTGAAAATGGGTCCCTCCTGAAAGTGAAGGGAGGTGGACATTAGATCGTCTTGAACCCACAGCTTGCTCCCTTCCTGCTCTTTCAGCTGTGCTTCCATGACTTCATTTCCTTACCCCCTCATCCTGAAGCAGATTGTCAGTCCCAACAAATCGTTGCCTTGCTTGGCTCTGAAGCTAGCTTGCCTTCTAGGCTCTCAATGGGTGGGCAATGGCCCCTGGAAGCTGCGACAGGATGGGAAGCCAGCTGTGTAAAGGTGCAACACACCTCATCCAGCTCCAAGTGCCAGGCAGCTGGGTGTGCAGGAAGCACCGAGCTCTCTGGCAGCAGACGTTGCAGATGTTTGCAAAATCTGAACAAGGAAACCTTGGTCTAGAGAAGCACCGCGTTTGATGTCTTTCCAGTAGTACAAGTGGCGAGTCCTCAGTAGTGGGCACCTATTTCTTTAACATTTAATGACCATAACGACTCTACCTCCTACAGCCTCCTGGGGATGGAAAAGAGAAGAAAATTCCTTCTTATAGACCTTTAGGGCTGGAAGGGGACTGAGATGTTGCCTAGTGTAATACCTTCAATTTATAGATGGAAAAGCTGAGACTCAGAAATTAAGTAATTTGCCTGAGGTCACACCACTCATAAAGGCCTGACTGAGACTGAATTCAGGTCTGTCTGACTCCCCAAGCTGCCGCCCTAAATTTCCTGCCCTCTGGTAGGGGATGTTTGTTTACTCGGGAAGCTATGCCCATGGGGAGACAGGGGTGGTGTGGGAAACCTCTGTACCTTCCCCTTAATTTTGCTGTTAGTTGAACCTAGAACTGCCCTAAAAAAAATAAAGTCTTACGAAACATCCTGCCCTCAGTGTGCATCAGCAGCGGCAGCAAGCGGCTTCACGCGTGGCATTTTCAGCAACTGGACACTTCCTCTTAACCAGCAGGAAATCGTTATCTTCGAGGCACGAGACCTGGGCGGTGGTCATGTAATGTAATGATCGTAGCTCAGTTCCAAGATGGCTGCCCTTGCTTCTTTCTTTTTTCTTCCCTTGGCCTTTTCCTCTTTCTCTTTTCATCTTCTTTCTCTCAGCCCTTTCTTCCTCCTTTCCTCTTTGCTCTTTCTTTCTTGTTCTCTCTCCATTCCTTCAGATTAAGGCTTTAATGATAACAAAAGATGGAATTTATCAAATGCTTACCAAGCATCAGGCTCTGGGCTCAGCACTTTATATCCACCATCTGATCTGTGCCCCGCTCCCACCTTATGAGGTAAGTACTGTTATCATCATTCCCACTTTTCAGACAAGCAACTGAAGCCAGGGGAGGTTAGGTAACTTACCCAAGGACACGTCAACTAGGTATTGGAGACCCCATTCTGACTGACATCACATCAGCTGTTCTTTTTCCATTACTCCATATTGGAGCCAAAAGGAGAGAGTGGAGAGACTAAAATGTACTGTTGGAAGGTGCTCAACATAGATTTGGCCAAGAGCTGGGCCCTCTGGAAAGTTCTTGGTGCCATATGATACTATAGCTGTCTGCCATCATGTTCATTTTCATCTGGGGGTGGTTAATCATACTCATAGTTCAGAGGCTTAAGAGGTTTAAGAGATGGGAGCAAAATAAGTCCAGAGTCCTAATAGGGCTACACAGCTGACTCTCCAGAGGAGACTGTAGATGAGTGAAATCATAAATATATAGCCTCACACATTTCTACACCACCAGTTGTCAGAGTTTTAAAGTACTTGAGAAGTTATGGAAAACATCTGACTCAAAGGCACTAACCTCTTGGAAGGTACCCGTGAATCTGGTGGAGTGCTAAGGCGAGGGGCCATCTCTAGGGCGTGGGGGATATTGGCTGTAAATAGATGGGGGAATTGAAAGGGCTCCTTCACCCTTTTAAGTCACAAACTAAAGACCCTAGCCTCTAATCACTTGGGTTAGGTTGGATTAGCCAGCAAGGGAGCCAGAGAAATTAGGGTTTCTTTTGGCTGACTTCTTTGACTACTCCATCCTTGGTGTGTGTGTGTGTGTGTGTGTGTGTGTATGTGCACCGAGTGGGAGAGAATGCCCATGTTCACCTACAAACCATCCCTTGGTCCCCCTGTCAAGATAGAAGACTAACAGCCTCTGGGACTCAGGGCAGTGTTGGAAGTCCCTCAGCCTTCCCCTTCACACATACACATAAATGTCTTCAAAAGTGCCCTAGAGAATCTGACTGAATCTTCTCTCCACACTAACTGAGAAATTTATTAATTAACACGACTTAAAAGATTTGGTGCTACAGCAAAGCAATCGATATTTGCAAAAGGAGTGAATTATCAACCGGGTGTTTCTGAATGTCCCTGCGTGGTTCTCCTGCTGAGACCAAAGGAAGAGCCATCAGACTGTAATTGTGTTTAATGCTTTCTTTGCCCTGGCCAGGGTTGACTTACTTATTTATTTAGAGTTATTACTGATGAGTTAAGCCTGATTAACTCAGTAGTTTTCTGCAGCTCGACCTCTGGATGAACTTTTGTATACCTTGAGGCTAATGTGTTTTACGCAACAAATGCAACCTTTTTCAGTACTCTCTCCCCCACCAGGCTGAGGCTACCTCTCTTCCTCTTTTCTCCAGCTTCTAGTCCCAGGTGTCTAATGTCCACCGCCCCCCCCCCCCCCTTTCCTCTGGCCCCTGTGTTTCTTCTGCTGTATTAGTCATTTCCTCTAGCCCAAGGTAAATGTGAAAATTATGCTAGATTCCTCCAATCCATAAATCTGGTTGTGTAATGTATTCTCACATCTCCACCTCATTACTTGTGGCAGCCAAGGGTGAGCCTTTGTGAGGATGACCTTGAACACACAGATCAAGTGTGTAGCATTTAGGAAAATGGAAAGATGAGGGGTGGGTGGTGGAAACAGGGACAAGTATTTCTCAAGCAACGGCTAGATTTGCAAACATGAGCCACAGTATGTGTGCATGTGCATGTGTGTGCATGTTGTTATTTAGACAGTTTTTCCACTTGGGTGTGGGGGTGAGCATAGAGGACACAACTATACACATACATATATATATTCACCACACACACACATTTCACATTTCAATATTCTACTACTTAGCCATATATTTGGTGCAAAGGACAGTCTGGTTTCTTGGTAAGTATGTACTCTATGCCCATTATGCAAGGACACTTGGGTCACTTTAACTTGGAATAAACTATTCATTTTGAAAGTTCTCCTTGGTTTATACTATAACCACGGAACGGGGCTGTGAGTTCAGAAACAGGACAAGAACATTAAGAAATAGAGACATGTTAAAAACACTCCAGTAATGCCCCCTAGATATTAACAAACATCCAAGAAATTGACATAGGCATTTCAATTGCAATAAAATCCTGTGAAGCTTGAGAACCCGGCTTGTTAGATTATATTTAGATGTGTTCGTTGTCCTTGAAACCCTTAGCTTTATCGGATTTGTCAACTTAGGTATGCCATTATAATGAAGAATGTTTTGTTGATGACTTGCCCTTGAATTTGAATGAGCCAAGTTGTTAGAGAGCCCAATTAGAAATTGTGCCTACAGTTGGTTATTATCACCATATTTCCAAAAGTCCAACCCCAAGGTCAGCGTGCGTTAGTTTGGTTAGACGAGCCCGTATATCTGCTATTCAACTGATTACTGCTTATTTCTTCCCTTAGGGGAAAGCTATGTTTGTTCCTCAGACAACTTCTTTAAAAAGGTGGAGTATACCAAGAACGTCAATCCCAACTGGTCTGTCAACGTGAAGACATCTGCCAATATGAAAGCCCCCCAGTCCCTGGCTAGCAGCAATAGTGCCCAGGCCAGAGAGAACAAGGACTTTGTGCGCCCCAAGCTGGTGACCATCATCCGCAGCGGGGTGAAGCCTCGGAAGGCCGTACGTGTGCTTCTGAACAAGAAGACAGCCCACTCTTTTGAGCAAGTCCTCACCGATATCACTGAAGCCATCAAGCTGGAGACCGGGGTTGTCAAAAAACTCTACACTCTGGATGGAAAACAGGTAATTATTATTGTTTTTTCAAAGTACTCTTCTTCTCAGTTGTTCCAAATACCTGGCTGCCCACCCTGTGCCTCAGGCATCATTTCGGGTTGGGGGACTCTTCCTCCAGCGCTCATCATCCCTACCTGATATTTTAGGTCTTACTGGGAAGAAAGGTCTTTTCGGCAGACCAAGCAATGGACCAGACATCTGAGGCTTTGAAATTTATTCTGCTTCCGTCTTATCAAGTTGAATGGTCACTTAGCCTCGGCTTTCTGGTCTGCTAAGCAGAGGACCTAGAACCTAGGTCCTACACATCCTTATGAATACAAATGTAACTATTACACGATGCAACCTTGATCATTCGATGCATGGGACTCGAAATGAGATTTGCGGGCTCCTTTCTTCTTAGGCAGCCTCATGATGGTGTTCGGCGTCCATTCTGGTGAACAAAGGTTGAAGTAACCCTTCATAGTCTATGAAAGGACCCAGATACAGGGGGAGCACTGAAGTGTCGGGTTCGTTGTCTTTGCCTCACACTAGACCACGTTTTTTCTTGCTCCCTTTTCCATGTGACATAGCTGTCTTAATTTGGTTCCACTGATGGTTTTGTGTGAGAAAGGGACTATTTCAGGATCCTAAAATTAGTCCAAGAAGGATGCTACCATCTGTTCCTCTCCAAATCAGGTTCTTCATGTCATTGGTTATGCTACTAAAGCGCCACCTATATTAATATCTGGGAAAGAATGCAGCCAGGCGTCTCCATCAGACAGATGCACCATTCTCTTGAGCATAGGGAGCTGTAAATGTTATGAAAAAATACGTTCCAAAGGAACTGGTACAGTGGCTGGTTCTGTTGGCTTTAAAGGGAATCCTGGTCCCCCATCAGAGAAGACAACTGTGGATTATTATCAGTCCATACTTTCTACCCCTGAAAATACCTTTGGTGTTTGAACAACTAGATAGATTCTAAAGAAGCAGACTCACTATACATCAGAGTGACTGATGAGTGTTCAAATGCAGAACTATGACTCCTCCCACAATTTCTGACATATACTGTGTGTTTCAAGATTTTAAATTTCTGGTGAAACTCAAACTCATGTATGTGGGAACTTCTCTAATTTCGGGACCTCTATCTGTTCCTCATTTTGTGATCTGAGCAACACCTGGAGGTATTGGTGGTATGTGATTTGTGTTTGTTGTACCAAAGCGAAGAGTTTACCTGCAGAGGGAAAAGTCCCAACTCCCAATCATCTCTCAAAGAGTATCTCTCTCCTGAGGACCAAGTATATAATAAACAGGAGCTTCCCAGGAACAGGCTTAATCACCGGAAACCTCATCTTGGAGAAATAGAACCTAGGAATTTCAGGATTGTTGGATTTTAGCGTTGACAGGGACCTGAGAAACCATGATATTTAATCTCCCGCCTATGGCAAGGATATACTCTACAACCATTTCGATTTCATAAGACAGCTTATTCCACTGTTGAAAAGCTGTGAGTTTTAGAAAGATTCTCCTCAAATTGGGCATAAGTCCACTTCTCTATACCTTCAGCCTCTTGAAGTAACGCATGACAAACACAAATCAAGGACATAAGACTGGGAATCAGAAGACTTGGTTTCTAGTCTTAATATTGCAACTTACTATGTGACCTTGGGCTAATCACTTAACTATCCTTCTCTGTACAAAGGGGCTGATCACACCTGCCCTACTCATGCTCACAGGATTCTCCTGAAGATCAAAAGACATAATGGATATGAAAGCACTTTGTAAATTAAAACACAAGATGTAAATATGTATGCATACAATACATCATTAAGGGGCGCCTGGGTGGCTCAGTTGGTTAAGCGACTGCCTTCGGCTCAGATCATGATCCTGGAGTCCCGGGATCGAGTCCCGCGTCGGGCTCCCTGCTCGGCAGGGAGTCTGCTTCTCCCTCTGACCCTCTTCCCTCTCGTGCTCTCTCTCTCTCATTCTCTCTCTCTCAAATAAATAAATAAAATCTTTAAAAAAAAAATACATCATTAAATGAGGCAAAATATGTAAATTGCCAAGTAATTTACATATATATCAATAAATGATAGCTCTTCCCCCCCCACTTTACCTCCATCATTCTTAGCATGAATTTCCAACATTTTGTGGAGATACACCACACCTTGGCATTCTGGGATTGCTCCTAATGCTAAATGAAGCAATACCCCTACCTCCCAGGTGAGCAAGCTCCAGTCCAGTGATGGGTGGATTTTCATCCTACAGCAGGCCATGCAGAACAGCACGTTTTCTCCAACTCCTTCAAGCACTGGCTCCCATTTCTTTGGGGGAACACATTATAAAATGCCAGTGTATGACATAGCGCATATACAGAAACTTTGCAGAACAGTGCTTCAGGGGAGCAGAACAGTGCCTTGGCAGGCATCCATGCCTCTCTGTACAGTTCATTCTCTCTAAAATGTCTCCCTCTGGGGGTGCCTGGGTGGCTCAGTCGGTTGAGTCTGACTCCTGATTTCGGCTCAGGTAATGATCTCAGATCGAGCCCTATGTCAGGCTCTGCGCTGGGCATGGAGCCTGCTTAAGATTCTCCCTCTTCCTCTCCCTCAGCCCCCAAGCCCCCCGAAAAAAAATAAAATGTCTCCCCTCTGCCTACTTGGACCCCTGGGGGTTATCTTTTAAGACCTGTTTCAAATATCATATTATCTCTGGAAACTTCTCTGTCTTCACCGTGCAAAGCTAAAACAATCTTAACCTTTTTTTTTTCTTTTTTCTTTTTTTTAATGCTCAGCTCCTGATATGTTGTGGAATCTCTGTAAATGATTGTTGATTGAATGGACTGACATAAAGAGATTCTCACATGGTTCAGGTAGATGTTCTGAGATGTCCTGAGAAGCCCTCTGCTCTTGGTGCCCCAGACATAATCCTTAGTCTATCAGAAAAAGATAGGAGGCTTCCAAAGGAGTGTGTATTCCACCTGGGGAGCTCCTTCCTATTTGTTACTTACTTGGAGGTCCTGGAGGGCAGACTTCTAAGACAACATTTCCCAGAGTATATTCTAAAAATTGTCCCCATCTCCTGCTCCCCAGCAGCTTTTCATAGACGGGTTCTGTGACCAAATAATGTGGTGAAGTGCTGTAAATTATATGCCTTTCTTAGAGATTCACAGTGCTTGTTGGCACATTAAATGTTCTGAGAAGTCCTGCAGGAGGGAAACCCATTTAATTTAGACCCAGGATTTCCCAATTTTATTTAACCACAAACATTTTTTTATGGAATATACATGTATATATTCTGCAGAGCGCATGAGAAAATGCTGTTTACAGAAGATGCTGGATGATTAGGCACTAACTACCATAACCTCACTGGTAAGATTGGTATGCATGGGGTAACCCACAAATCAAACATTGTTGTGTGGTTACAGCAAGGACATTAAATAACAAAATTTGGGGGTACAGGGACAAATCTACTAATTCCAAAATAGGTGCTGAGTATACTGAAAGTTAGCCAAACTCAAAATTTTGGAGCCCAGCCCATTCCCCAATTCTGGTGATGACAGCTCTAATGTTAACACCTGTCAGTCACTTTGATTACTGGTGGGTATTCTTACTGCTTGGGAATATGATCTTCCTCCATGCAGGCTGAAGGCACATGTGTTGCAATGGCTTGGACTTGCTTGGCTATTCCATGTCTGTCTTTGGCTAAATGTGGCACCAGGCAGAAAGGACAATGCATGGTCAAGGCTCTTTGTTATGGAACATTTTAATCATGAAATCAAGACCATCACTTGGTTTTGGCCTTGCTCTGACTGGATCTCCAATAGACAAAAATCACGTGGTTTTCTCCCCCATTGTTTGAATAATGATCAGTTAAAACAGCCCAGTTGATGATTCCAGATTTACTGTTGCTTCTGTCCTTGTGTGTACCATTTGATTTACTGGCTTACTCGAATTGACAGGAAATCTGCAGGCAAGGCTGTCATCTCTCTCTGTTTTTATTTTGTCTGGATGGCTTTTGGAGCCCTTGATCTTTTTAGGACTTAAGTTTTGCCAGTATGGAAGAAAGATTTCCTCACCCATTGCCTCTGAGAGATTTGTGGTCTGTGTAGACGGGGAAACTAACCATCATTAGTACAAAGGGGTCCCAATTTATTCCTCACCTCAGTAAGAAGTTGCTAATGAAATAAGGAATGGTTGGCAGGGCCCTTGCTACTCCTGTGGGCTGTAATGAATTTCTAGGAGATCAGGGAGGATATTAAGGGTTAGATGATGATGCATATTAGTTAACTCTCCGGTGAGATTGTTCTCCTGATTCTTTAGCAGCTGGAGTGGTTGTTGCAGTGTGTTGACAAAATTAACCAAATGTTAATTTCTATAAGCAGGCCACACATTTATGCTTAAAGATCACTGGGTGCCTAAAAACTAGAACCCAAATTTCTGGTTCACTTGGTAGGAGTAGCCCCATAGTCTAAACTTAAATTCATTTCTGTAAAGCACAGAGCATGGTGCTTCCATTAGAGATGCAGAGCCTTAATAATAGACTCGGAGCTTTTTGGCATCTTAAACAGGGGTGCAGCTGGTCCACACACCATCCATATTCATGCTACACTTATTGGCATCTCTGGTCTCAGTTTTGTCCACATCCAAGGTCTGTGCAGTCAAAGATTTATCATTGCCTCAAGACACATGCCTAAGGGATAAGTATGGCTATTAGTATGTGCGTTAGCTTTGTTAGGCCAGTTTTCAATTGGTTGAATTTATTTCATTTCTCTGTCTCTGTCTTTCTAGTATCAACTACTTGGACTGGGAATTGTAGGTCTCAGAATAACATGAAAGGGTTTTAAGCTGATTCTAAGATTACCCATAGCCTTGGAAGCTCGAACAGGAGTTTTAAGAAAGGTTTTGAACCATAAGATGATGAAATAGGAAAAATGAGAGCACAGAGGATGTTTGAGTGGCTGTTAAGTATTCCAGAAAAAACTTGCTCCATCTTGCTCTACTAAATAACTGGGTGCTGGAAGCACAAAGGCAATC